TGATATCTTCCGAATGAAATGTCCGAATTGAATAAAAAGGTATTGAAGCCGTCTTCTTGAATATAAGGTAATTTATTTTGATAAGGATTAATACCAAGGTACAAATAAAGAGCCTTTTCAAGCGGCGGCATATAAATTAAATTTTTAGAATAAAAAACCGCTTACTGTGACATAACTATAATATTTAGACATGCTGTCGCGACACTTTTTGTAGATAATGATGAGTTCTGCAAAGTCCGTAGTAAATGATTTTGTTCTATCATCAATAGTTTTCGCAGCGCACGCGACGTAAGGAATTTTTCAGTTCATTTTTTACACCTTGGGTTACATTATTGGAAATTTAGGAAAGATCCCAAATTATTTTTAAAATATAATATAGCCTATGTTACTCGGGGATAATGTAGCTTTCCAGAGGTGAAAAAATTTTTGAAATCGGTCCAGTAGTTTCGGAGCCTATTCATTACAAACAAACAAACAAATCTTTCCTCTTTATAATATTAGTATAGACTATGGTGGTTTAATTAATTTGGTTGATGGCGGAAAATCATCCAATGAAGAAATCATTGGATGTTTGGGTTAGGCGAGAGGGTGAGTCAGAATCTTACTGACTAAAAACCACCCCGTTCTTACTCCTGCTCGTCGAACTGGAGCCCTGGCAACCCGTTAGGCCTTCTGTGGTTCCTTATTTGTTGAGAGTTGAAGTCGGCGCGGGCGCGAGCCCACACTATACAATACTCAACATATAAAACATAAACATAACATCGCGTCTTTTATCCCCGAAGGGTAGACAGAGGTGCACATTATGCCACTGTACAATGTAACACCCACTTTTCACTATTTATGTTATGAGTCCCATGTAATAGGGGGTGAGCATACAATACTCCACGACCCTAAAGCGTACACGAAAACGCAAAACACACTGGGGCGAGCTGCTTTTACTAACTAGCGTTATTAATCTTGCTATAGGCTTGTAAATAATATTGAATGAAAGTAAAGGTCGTCACAACATTTATTTACAATATTTACAAAGGTTCTCTCTTAAGTACATAATGTTAAAACTATCCTTATTTACATGTGTTTTTGCAAAGTTTATGAAGTTCAAATGTCATGTGAAGCAGACTGGTCCAGGAGTGAACGTGAACTGATGTTCAGCGTCTACGAACGATAGAGGCTGGAAGTCGCTGATTGGCAGTCTATCAGTACGTGATGTCTTTATTTCAAGCACAATTTCGCCAGTGCCCTCCTGAAATATCAATTGAAGTCTGTTAAAAAGTAGTCAAAAAATTATAAGAAAGGTGTTCTGGATGAAGTTACAAGCTTGATTTAAGGGAAAGGGACAAAAACGACAAAAAAGAAAAGTAAGTGTCGTGAACACATTAGTGTTAATGTATTAACGTTAATCATAAATTATGAATGCGAATGTTTGTGAGTTTGTCTGTATGTTTGTTACTCAATTACGTGACAACAGCTGAAAGGGTCCAGTCGGGTTGAAATTCGAAACGGGGATAGATCTGTAATAACACATAGGGTGCTTTTTAATCCACGGCGGTAATGCGGGCGAAGCCTTGGGCAGAAGCGAGTATAATAAATACTAACATACGCGTTATATTTAACCTGAGTTAATTAAGTATCTGTTATAGAAATGTGCTTATGAGGTGAGAGTAGTACATAAAATATTAAATACAGTACCTTGCAGTCGTCTCTGATCAATAGCGGTTCACGGAATTCAACGGAATTGTAACCGAAAAGTTTCAAGTTGTTCTGCCTCGTCAAATCACTGGGAATGTCGGACCTGAAACCGTATAAAGGAAGCATTTTATTATAATAATCTATTTACATGTTTGTTATAAAATGTTCTTTGATTTGTTATTGGTTGTAGTTGGCCAAGTAGTTTGGTATTCAGGTAATTTATCTATATACCGAACTCCTGCGCTCGTACTCTGAAAGGCTACTCAATTTTAAGTTGTACTCAAATATGGTGCCATCTCTGTCACTTTACAAAGAATTTGTAGTGACAGAACTATGCGCAACATAAAATTAAGTAGCATGGCAGTATTCAGACCCCTAGGTTGATTACATTCAGTAAAATAATATAGATTATACTCTTGGGAGCCAAGAAACGGAAGCAGTAATTTTTTTTTAAATGTATTGAACCGCAGCTTTTGTAGCATTATCTTTAAAAAAAAATATTCCTTTTACAATTACATGCTCTTATTTTAAAGG